GATGGGACCAGGAGGCCATGGATGGAAGCCTCTGAAACTGTGAGCCACAACAACCTTTTTTCCTATAAGTTGATTTCCTCAGGTATTTTGTCATAGCTACAGAAAGCTGACTAATATATCATCTATTTTACTCCAAAATGTATACCTTTGAAATGAGTTAGAAAGATCCATGTCCCTACCTCTACCTGGAATTTGGGCTAGATGAACAGTTTTTGAATTACAATTTTGCACAGATTTGGGGGTTTTTTTGCACAGATTTGTTTATCTTTTAAATGTAATATTTTTATTCTTTGAGAATTTCATACATGAACCCAATGTATTTTTAATATGTTCACCACTCACTCCCCAACTTCCCCAACTCCTTGTCTAATGTTCTTTTTTCTTAATCTCTAGAAGTTCAGTTAGGTGTTTTACATTTCCTGTAGGGCTCAGGTGAAGGCACACTGGGGCTGTAGATGAGTAATAGAAAAATGATGGAAAATCTCTTGATGTCCGGGAATGGGAAAGCTTGAACATCAGGGCCTGGTTGCCCAGGGCCATGTGTATGGTCAAGACCTTAGCTGGCCATCAAGGGAGGTGGGAAGTCTATTCTTAAGAATCAGTTCTCCCAAGACTAGAAACTGCAAATGACAGAAATGTCCCCTGTCCCCATCATTAAGTCTAACACAGAGGCAAAGCCACTGCCATATATAGCTTAGAACCTTGGGGGAGGTGGTTGTAAGGGATGCAGCCGCTCAGAGAAGGCTGAAACTGTGGCCTCCACCTTCCAATTTGCTCTACCATCAGCCCACCACCGAAGGAATGTGGAATCATGGCTCAGGGTTGGGAATCACAGCTCCAGGCTCACAGAACGGGCTACAACTCTGGCTCATGGGAGGGAACCTCAGCACCAGCTCATAGGAGGGGATCACAACTCCAGGTTCATACAAGAGGACCTTAACTCTGGTTCACAGTAGGAGACCATAGCTCTAGCTCACAGGAAGGGACCACACCTGTAGGTTCACAAGAGGGGACAACCACTGTAGGTTCAAAAGAGGAGGCCACAATTCTAGCTTGTGCATAGACGGGAACCACAGTTTTGGCTTGTAGAAGGGGACCATAGTTCTAGCTCATGGGAGGAGACCACAACTCTGGCTCACAAGAGAGGAATTGTTTATTTTTCTTAAAATTCTTTTTGAATACTTGGAATGAGCTTTAAGTCCCTTGTTTTTTTCCCTTACTCAAATCTCTATAACCAGGAGTTGGGCAGAGTAGGGATATGATGTCCCAGTGCCTGGTACTGTGAAACGTGTCAGAGTCACAGTGCTGTGTACTCTGTGTGCTGTGTAATCATCACTCAGCCCACTATGCAAGTGTTCAGGAAGTGTACAAAGTACTTGTCCTAATCGCTGTAAGCACACCTATGTGCTTTGGTGCCTCTCAAAGGGAACAGGATCTTTGCAGAGAGGCAGCCTCAGGTTTGAGATTGGCACACAGTGCGCAGTATATACATGTAAGAAATTGTCAAAGAACTACTTAAAATGTAAAAGAATGGGAGGAACCAGCAGAGACTAGATTTTTCTATCCTTCTGAAGAAGTGGCAGTTACACCTGAGTCCCTGGGTGAACGCTAGCTTATCCCCTGTGTATTGCCAACACTGGGGTGTGACACTGTTTAGGTTGAACATTCCTCACTCCTTTTTTGTGTACTTTTTTTGATTTGTAGATCTTAGATTTTATTTTTTTAAATTTTTTTATTGAGTTTTCATGCATTTCACATAATACATCTTAATCAAATTTAGACCCTTTTCCCCCCCCTCCCTCCTCACCCACCCCATATCCCATACCAAATTTCAGACAGTCTGTCATGTATGTTAAGTCCTATCTAGTCAAGCTTTTTGTACCCAGATGTCTCTCGGTGCAAGTTCATCTACTGGAGTCTAGTCAACCCATCTAGAGTCACTTCCTTAAGGAAGATCCACTCTCCCTCACTCCATAGTAATCAGCTGCCAATAGTTCCTTGGCTAGGGTTGGGGCTTGCTGCCCATTTCCCCCATTCTATGTTGGTTTTTTGTCTGATTGAGTCAGCATGAATCTTGTACATGCTGTCATTATTGTTGCAAGTTCATGAGCAAGTTCCCAGACGCCTGAAAGCCTCTGTTTCTTTATGTTCATGCACCAACCTGGCTCTTACAATCTTTCTGCCCCCTCTTCTGCAATGGTCCCTGAGCCATGGGCCTCATTCCTTTCTCTCTAGTCCCTTCCATTACATTTTTCTACTTCCCACATTACTAGGCACCACACATTCAGAGTGAGTGCTTTGTCCTGTCAGTCTGGTTGCTACTGAATAGTTCCTGGTACAGAGGAGATGGTCAGTACAGATTTGCCACATACATTGATAAGTGATCATTCTCTGTCCCTCTTCCTCTTTATCTGACTTCTGTTAGCTTTATTTATGGCTATTTAAAAATATTGGAGTTCAGATGCAGAGATGGATGATGGATTACTTATAGTCTTCAGCTTATGACATGCTCTTATGGTCCTTGTATGGCCTGCGGTGTGTGTTTTATAGTGTACTTGCTACCAAAACTGAAAAGTAGAGCCTCAGTGCTAACCCGAGTGCAAGCATATGTCCCTTGTTCCCTCTGTCTCCCAAAATATGAGAGCATCATTCTGATTCCCTTATTAACTAGGAACAAACAGTCGCATACTATATGAAAACATTTTATTCATATTTGAATACATATCAGAATCAAACTTATCTTTGAACATTTAAGAGTTGTCTAGGGAGCTGGAGAGGTGGCTCAATGGTTAAGAGCATTAGCTGCTCTTGCAGAGGACTCAGGTTCAGTTCCCAGCACACACATGGTAGCTAACAGCCACCTGCAACTCTACTTCAAGGTGATCTGATGTCTTCTTTGGCTTCTCTGGTCATTGCATGCACATAGTACACTTACATGCAGGCAAAACATTCATACACATAAAATAAAAATGATGAAAAATTATCTAAAGCACCGTGTGTGTGTGTGTGTGTGTGTGTGTGTGTGTTCAACTGGTAGAAAAAGGCATGAAAGACAGGTGCAAAAATAAATCCTCTTTTGCAACCCAGAACTCTTTATTCAGTATGGGTTTTGATGCATATGAGAAGGAAAATAACACTGGCAAGGTAGACCCAGGCTGGTCACCCACAAAAGTTAGTGGAGCCATGTGGGCCTGGTTGCCCATGTGCACCAGTGGGGCAGAGCTGACCTGGCCTGTCCACCCATGTACCCTGGTGGTACCCATGGGCAGTCGACCATCAGACCATCATCATCACCCAGTGGCTGTCAAGACCTGGCTGTAGTCTTCAACATCATTAGGGTCTGAGCAGTCTAAAGATTTCAGAAAATAAACTAGAGGACACTGGTGTAAAGCTTTCCTTTGAAGCTGTGAAACATCCCAACTGCACTCAGAGAATCTTGAATTAGAGGCCAGTGAGCTAACTGTTGCCTGCTGTGAGGACCTGGGTTTTTCTTTTACCCGCAGTAAAACCCTGTGGGGAATCAACCTGTTGAGAACGCCTTGGTTCACAGTGGAGTCATTGTGCTGAGTGAGGCCTGGAAACAGCCAAACAGCCAAACACCCATGTAAGGGCTGTGAACAACTAATTTGATAAGGAAAACCAAGTGTTTCTGAGAAAAAGAGAAATCCCTACTTGACATTCCTATGCAGTGTGTAAGCGAAACAGAAATTGAGAGTGAAAATCTCATTCCAAGAAACCAGGGTGTATTCTGACCCAAAACCTCATACAAAGGAAAAGGAGTGGGTTCTTACTTTGGCACACCTCTGTGTAAGAATTAGACAACACTGAAGTTGGGGGTGTAGGGTGTCGGGGGCAATAGGGTATGGGTGGAGGTTGGGGAGGAGGTCTGAATAGAATGAAAACTCATTGTATAAAATTCTTGAATCAATAAAATTTCTCTTAAACAAAAATAATAGACTTAAAAATGAAAGAAAATATATCATCTAGGATGCTGTCAGGAGCAGAGGTCGTCCTTTGCCACAGCATACTTCCGAGGAGGCTGTGGGTGTAAGTTTGCTCTTTTGTTCCCTCTTCTACCTATGCTCCCGGATAACTTAGTTTGTGAGTAGAGCAGTTCAGTCTGTGAGGTCCATCTCTGGGGCGAGAGGCATGATCCTTTGATCCAGTTAAATTATATCCAAACACAAAAGGAAGACTGAGGTTCAACTTTTTGGGTAGTAAATAGCTGTAAATTCTGCACTTCAAAGGACAAAGCAAAACAAAAACCAGAATCAAAACAATCTGCCTGCCAAAAAGAATAAGTCAGAGATGATAATAACAGGCATCACTCGAGGTAAAAATAGAGTCCAATTTTCTGACTAAATTAATTACTTCTCCTCACTTGCTTTGGTATTCACAGCCAGCCTCATCTCTCCTTATGAAGTTTTTCTTTCAACACTGAGGTCAGACTGGACCAACTGCCCTGTCTTTGCTCATGTTTGTGGCTAAAGGCCATTATCAAAGTCCTCTCCGCCCTCACAGGCAGCCCAAGTGCTGTCTCTTCCACTGTGGACTGCCCTCTGCCTTTGACCTCAGCATCCTGTACTCTTGCTGTATCTGACTCTTCTCTGATGGTTTGAATACTTAGTCCTTCCACAGGGATTGTGGCTTGGGATCCTCTCTACACCCCAGAGTCTCACACATAATTGTAAACACAAGGACTTAGAGAGTTAAGTGGATTTGTTGATGAGAAAATAGCTTTGCATCTCCCATGTAGCAGGCTCTTTCTAAAGTATTGCATGGGACAAGAAAAACGGAGCCATAAAACATGAAGAAACCTAGTAATTAGAGCTATAGACAAGGGACATAGTTTCCGACCAAGTGAAGATGAGGAAGTTGATGCAGTTCAATAGCTGACATCTCTACGCTAATATAAAGCAGTATTTGTTTGCCTGCTTCTTTTGCTAAACAGATAAGACAAAAATTACTTGAAAAATTTAAAGACTTTTTTTTTCCTGTAGGGCCAGTTCTGTGACTATTGCAATTCTGAGGACCCCAGGAAAGCACATCCAGCCACCCATGCGATTGATGGATCTGAACGTTGGTGGCAAAGCCCTCCTCTCTCCTCAGGCACACAGTACAACCAAGTCAACCTCACTTTGGATCTGGGTCAGGTGAGTTTTGATTTCTGTTGGAATTGGAACATTGGTTTGGATCTCTTTTTTTTTGCGGTGATTTCTGACATAACAACATTATCAAAAATAAACTTCAGTGGCATTAATATCAGCTTCCTTTAAAACTAGAACAGTGCCATTCACAGAACAGATCCCCATTGGCTGTTAAATGGGTTTAAAATAAATGTATAGGAGCTAGAGAAGTGGCTCAGGCAGTAAAGGACTTGCAGCACAAACATGAGGCTCTGAGTTTGCTCCCCTGGAGGCTATATAAAATGGTGGCATGCTGGTATGGTGGCAAGCTATAATCCTAGTGCTGTCCAGAGACAGGAGGGTTTACTGGACAGCCATTTGAGTTGAATCAGTGAGCTCTAGGTTCAATGAGAGACCCTATCTCAAAAAGTAAGGTAGAGGGGCTGGAAAGGTTCAGAGCTGAGCGATTAAGAGCACTTGCTGTTCTTCTAGAGGCCCTGAGTTCAGATTCCAGCACCTACACGGTGGCTAACAACTGCCTGTAACTCCAGTTCCAGAGTATTCAATGCCCTCTTCTGGCCTCCACAGGCACTGCACACACGTGGTGTACTTATACACATGCAGGCAGAGCATTCACACACGTAAGATAAAAATAATAAAATACTGGGGCTGGAGAGATGACTCAGCGGTTAAGAACACTGTTCTTGCAGAAGACCTGGGTTCGAATCTCAGCACCCACATGGTAGCTAACAACTGTCTGTAACTTCAGTTCCAGGGGATCCAACAGCCTCTTCTATCTTCCATGGGCATTGTACGACACGGGTGCACTTACCTACATGCAGGCAATACACCATACACATAAAATAATAATAAATAAAATATTAAAAAATAAAAAAGTAAAACAAAATACAAAAAATAAGGTGGAAGGTGATAGAGGAAGACACCCAGTGCCAACCTCTGACCTCCATATGCAAGAGCAAACGTGTGCATGCACACCCTTACATATACACGTGTATACATGCACATGAGCACACACAAATATATAGTAGTAGATGGTTTCATTGTAAAAAACATTATTATTATTTTCATTTGTGGCATAGTACAAAAATAAATTTATTGTTTTCAGCTTTTTAAGTGTAGTGTTCAGTGGCATTAAATTCATTGATGTTGTACAAATACATCTACCTTGAAAACTTTCTGTCTTTTTGTTTTGTACGATGGAAAGTCTATACCTGTTCAACTCCACTCCCTTCTACCCTTCAGTCCTGGCAACCACTGCAGTATTTTCTGTGACCTGATGTCTCTAGGATTATATTTGCCTTTTTGTGGCTAGCTTATTTGGTTTAAGCTAAGATTTCAAGATTTCTAACTTTGTAGTGTGTATCAGTGTTTCCTTCCTTTTTCAGGCTGACTAACACTGCATTGTATGCATACCTCATGTTTTGTGTATCCATCCATCCACTGGTGGACATTTGGATTGCTTCCAGCTTTGGGCCATTGTGACTAATGCTGCCAAGCACATGGGTGTGGTAAAGATATTTTTATAGCTTTCTTTTTCCTGAAAATCCTGATTCACTGAATACTGACTACCGTACTTTGGGGTCTTATTTGGCCAACTGGCCCACAGGGACCAGGCTTGAGGTCTTATCCTGTGGAGGCTATAAAGGCTCCAGGATGGCTGCCCCTGGTGCACATACCATATGATCAATTCCCTTGTCCTTAAGAATAGGCAGCATTGTGAATACAATAGCTGCTACTTCAGTAATTATGTGGCCTTGTATGACAAAGATGAAGGGATTCTGGGAATGCATGTAAGGTCCCAAGTCAGTTAAATCAAAGGGAGATGAATAACCTGGGTATGTCCGTCCTGATTAGAACTTTGTAAAGGGACTGCATCCCCCAAGGAAAAGATTTGACCCACGAGAGCCTCTCCTGCTGGCCTTAAAGGGGAAAGCTGTCAAGTTGTGAACTTTTCCTGGAGAAAGTCATGAGGCAAGGATCTGAGAGTAAGTTCCAAAAGCCCAGGGTGGCTTCCAGCCCACAGTCCTACAACCACAAGGAACTGAGTGATGCCAACAACATGGAGAAACTTGGAAGCAGGTATGTCAGCTATCCAGCTGGCATCTTGACTGCAGCTCTTATCTTGGGTTATGAGCTTGGCTGTACTGTGCCTGACTCAGCCTAGAGAACGTTGAGATAATAAATATGTGTTGTTTTAAGCCACTCCATTTGCAGTACTTTGTTATGCATGGATGAAAATGAAAACAGCTTACTCTCCCATTCAGAGGAGGGAGTACCTCCCACCTATTTTATGTTATTCCTCCAAAACAGATTTATTAAGTTTATGCAGTGCCCTTCTGTGTCCCAGGCACTGCAGTAGGCATTTGAGATAGAGCACAGCTAATAAAAATATAAATAAAAACCCATATAGTACGCTGTAAAGATCTATAGAGGAACAAGAAGATGGAGTGGATTATAGACATCCTGAGTGTTGGGGAAATTGTAGTTGGCAGCTTTGCTTTGGGTGTTTCGAACAGGGCTTATTGAGGACGTAAGACTGATGCAGAGTCTTGGGGCATAGGAAGGACTTTGTCATGCAGATGTCTGTCACCCAGACAGAAGGAACAGCCCTACAAAATCCCCAAATAGAGCTTATATGGAAACTCTGAGGAGCAGCACCAAGGCCGGAGCAGCTGGGGCTGAATAGAGAATGAGCTGGGGAGGAAGAGGTCAGAGAGCACAAGCAGAGCCCCACAAGCCGTTGGAAGGACTTTGGCTCATTTTACGGTTTTAAACCCAGGACTGACAGAATCTGATTTGTACTTTAAAATGGTTTCTTTGGGGACCCTGGGACTCTCCAACATTAGGAAGTCAGAGAGGAGGAAAGGAATTGGTAAAGAATACTGGCTTGAGCCAACAATCGATGAAGACAAACCCTAGAGTGTGGTACCCTGAAAGAAAAAGTAGAAAAGGAACAAGTCAATAATATGAGAGGTCCAATAAAAATACATGGGAAAGGGGTTGAAGAGATGGTTCAGTGGTTAAAATCTCCTCTTGTTCTTCCAGAGGACTCAAGTTCAGGTCACAGCACACATAGCGGGTTGCTTACAACTACCTGTAACTCCAGCTCCAGGGTATCTGACACCCTCTTTTGGTCTCTGTGGGTACCTGCTTACATACAAAAATAAAAAAAATTTTAAATCTTTAACCCCACCCCCAACTCTTAAACAACAACCCATGCACAGGGAAAAGAGCTACATACAGAAAGTATTCCAAAGAAGATAAGCAGATGGCCCATAGTACATGGAAAGAGGCTCATGATCATTAGCCAGCAGGGAACTACAAATCAAACCCATAAGTGGTTAGCACTTTATACCCACCTGGGTGATTATAATAAAAATACCAATAGCAGCTGTTGATGAGGCTGTGGAGAAGCTGAAACCTCAGACATTGTTGGTGGAAGTACAAAATGGTGTGGCTGCTTTGGAGCACAGTTTGAGATTTTCCCACCAAGTTAAACCACATGCTCTACTGGGTCTCTCTCCTGGTTATGTACCTGAGGGAAATGAACTCACACCCCGCAGAAAACCTGGTTAGTGAATAGTCACTCTAGCATCATTCATAATAACTAAGAAGTGGAAGTAGCTCAGAGGTGTGTCACCTAATGAATGGATAAACCAAACATAGCATATCTGTGTGATGGATACCATCCAACAATAAAAATATATGAGATTTTGATGAAGGCTACATGAGCGAATCTTGAAAGCATCATGTATGTGAAAGAAACTAGCCATAAGAGGCCATATGTCATATAATTCCATTTGTGTGAAGTGTCCAGACAGGCAGATATATATAGAGAAAACTAGTGTAGTGCCTGCCCGAGTTGGGGTTTTGGAGGTCATTGGGGTATGACTACTAATAAGTAGATTTTTTTTTGGTCTTTTTGAGACAGGGTCTCCCAGTAGCCCCAGCTGGCCTGGAACTCACTGTGAAGACCAGGTTGACCTCAAACTCACAGAGATCCACCTGCCTCTGCCTCCCAAGTGCTGGGATTAAAGGCATGCACCACCACACCCGACCAATAAGTACATTTTTTATGGGGAGTGGTAATGAAGTGCTCTAAAACCGATTATGATGGTGGATGGACAGCTTTGTGGATGAAGCAAAAACTATTGATATACTTTTTGTATACTTCAGTTGGGTAAATTGTGAATTATATGTCATAGGACCACTAAAACAAGAATTCGCTAAAAGTATTTCAAGGGGAAAAAAAGTGAGAGAGGATAACTATTGCCAAATACAGTTCATAAGTCAAATTACATGGGACTAGACTAATAGCTGACCAATAACTGGACTTGGCCAATATTGAGGTTATTGGTGACTTTGATAAGATAGGCTTCCAGGATTAAGAGAATGTGAGAAGATAAGAAATATTTAATATAGAAATCTATTTTTGAAGAGTTTTGCTGCAGTGAGGAGAAAAGAAAGGGGGGGTTGTTGAAAGGCTGGTCAAGAAGATTTATTTAGGGACTGGCTTGTGTGCAGATGGAAACGTGTGTACAGGAGAAAGACTGCTGTGTGGGAGTCTGTCAGGTGCCAACACTCTGGCTAAAGCAACCCCAGTACTGTGCTGTTGGTTATGCTGTCGTTGCTAGCTGCGGGTGGGCCCAGGGTCCAGTTCATCTAAGAAATACTGCTTGAAAGCAAAAAACCAAAAAGGAAATCAAACGATGCTGGAATTTCTTACAATGTTATTTTCATTTGTGTTGAGCCTAGTTTTGAGGTAGAAGAACTCTCAACATCCTTAGCCCATATATTGTGTGAAATGCAGCCTCTCCTGACGGCCTTTTCACCATCAGTTTACATGTGATACAGTTTACAGAGATCCTTCATAGGTCAAAAGACACTGTAATTCTGATTTTAGTTGTGAATTAGTCTTCTTCCTCTCAAAGCGATCCTATACTTAATTCAGGTTTTGCCTGTAATGGCCAGGATTTACCCATAATGTCAGTAATTTTTTGACTTAT